TATGGTTGTAGGAGTTTCACGTGTGCCATAGTAGCAGTGGGTAGAGAGAGCAGGTGTAGGCAAGACAGCCTGTTTGGGTTTGAATTTTTCCTTCTCTTATTAGTTGCCATCCAAAGAAGTAGAACCCAGTCTGTTCAGCTATTTAACCCATATCTGGAGGAAAATGATAATATGTATTTTCCTAGGGTGAAAGTGAACATAAACTTTGAATTTGAACCTGGCTAATCGAATTCGCTTTCTGCACAGATAATTGGTACATTTTTCTATAAAGAAGTTTTCAAATGCCATAATTAAAAAAAAAAAAACAATTAAAAAAAAAATCGAAAACTTTGTTTTTTTTTCAGTTCGTACGTACATTTTTTCTTTTTAGATAAAATAAGATATGCGATATCTAATCTATATAGTTTAGACATGATGATTTTCACTTATTTTATGAAATTAAGTAGTTGTCACTCTTTCCTCAAGTAAAAGAAAAATAATTTAGTTAAAATTTAATAATTCAATTATTGTTTTTGTTAGAAGGATTTTTGCTAAAGTTTAAATAAAGATTCATTTTTTGAAAAATTAAAAACTTTGGAGTTTATTCCATTTTTTTAAAAAAGTAGGTGTTGTTTAAAAATGCAAGAAATAGTTTGTAAAATTTTGCAAAAGTTCATTTTAACACATGTTTGATTGTGATTGAATTATCGAAAATAACAGTTAAAATCTGTGTAGTCGGTGACTCATGAGGCCAGGATATAATTTACGCTCAGTGTAACTCCAAAGAAGTCAGGTACATCGGCGAGTTGACATGAAAGTTTGATTCCTAGCCACCAAGTGCAAATCAGCGCTTCACAGGTTTGTCAGTAGCTGATCCCATCAGGTGAACAGGTGATTGACCAGCTGCGCTTAGGATGTGTACGCATGGGAAAATAAAACGATGGCGGGAGGAGAGTGTCATACATCTAACAAGAATGAAGAGTCCACGTTTGGAGAAAGTTCCTGGTCGACGTTGTTTAACAAAATCTAGAGTTGAATAAATTACGTACGAGAGATTTAGTCTTGTGTAATGTACGATGGTATTATTACATCTGATTGGTGCCAAGGTACTAGAAAATAGGCACATAAGCTGAATTCTTGCTTTTACTATCCACAAACACCTTAACGAGATTGAAAAGGTGTTTAGAAAATGTTTTTGGATACTTAAATTTATTTATGATTGGACCTCATTGTTCGATGATTTGAAAGTTTCCTAACTTAGAATTAAAATAGACCAATGAATTGTTAATTGAAAATACAAAAAGCATAATAACTGTCGTTCAGGGAAGACATCTTAGTCCAACACCTAATCCAGAGGCCCACCACCTAAAAACATTTAAAAGAATATGGAAAATTTTGTCTATCATGAACTTTATAAATATAGCAAGACAACACATCTCTATTTATGTCTTGTTCAACACTACAAAACTATGCTTGAAGCTTCGATTGCATCATTCCAGCTTAACTTTATAGTTTTTGTTTATTGCAATAATTCAAGAATTTTCTTAAAATATAGAAAGAGATAATTATTAAATTTCTACTTACAATATGAGCTTTTTAAAATTACTTTTACTTAAACTTACTTATTGTAAATGATGACAATGTTTTCCCCGCAAAACAGGAGCTCTGAAAAAAAAAAATGAAAAAAAAAAGAAAAACAAACAAAAAATACAACAAAGAAATGAGCAGACAAAAGCAATAATATTAGCAGAAGGAATTATCAATTCTTTATAAATAATTAATAATTTAATTAAATATTTAATTTGATTAATATTCTTTAAAAATATTTAATACATATAATATTATAATATAATATTATATAATATTTAATACATAATAATATTGTTCCCGATAATAGAGCATCGGACAAAGAACTACAAATGGACGAGAGTTACCAATGGTGGAATATGAATAAATAATAAAAACAAACACAATTTTCCATTCAATTTCCGTTTAATAAGAAGAAATTTGCAACAATGCTTCTTTTTTTTTTTCAGTTTTTCTTTTAAATATATTATCTCGCCTATGGCCCACTTAAATAACTGTGGGAAACTGCTTACAGACGACCCATGCGTAGACGGACCCAAAAATAGCCGATTTTAATTGACAAGTTTACAAAAATTATCTTTTATTTTTTTAATTTATTATATATATATATATATATTTATTTGATTTGTTTTTTTTTCGGAATTTTTTATTTTTTTAAAATATTTTAAATACCGACGTTTTATTTTTTATTTTTGTTTTTATTTTATTGTTTTTTTTGTAACTTTTGTTTTGCAAACACAGACTACAATACGGTCTACAGAGTGATGACTGCTTAAGACACTACACAACATTTTTTTGTAATTTTGGTTCTTTTTTTGTAGGGGAAGGGCAGTGAGTTGTTTCGTTCTTTTTTTGTGGCTAATAATTTTATTTAGTTGTTTAGTTTTTAAATATATGAGAATTTTGATTAGTTGTTTTTAAAATTTTTTGTTTATTATTTTCATGTATTTTAATTGTCATGGATTTCACAACTCCAGCATTTATGACCAACCATCGGTTTATGAAAATGACTCGCTTCATCATGTTATCGGTATTATTAAAAACAAAAACCTTTTAGGACTGTTTTAATTAAATCTATTTTATATTTTTAAGGTAAAGGCAGAAATAGGGGCCTGGAAGAGAATTATATATATATATATATATATATATATATATATATATATATATATATATATATATATATATATATATATATATATAATACGTGTGTACATATATGTACATATAAGAATGTGCGTAAGTATATTCGTTTTCTATCTAAATGGACGTCTGATATTTTATTTGTTGATATATACAATTTTTTTTTAAATTCCAGAGCGGGTAATCAATGATGTTTGACATTAAAAGTACAGTCTTCGTAATTATTTGAATATTATGGCTTTTCATTTTTAAAAACATTTTTGTTTAGTCTTTTTAGATAAACTTCATCAGTATTTGATAAAGTAAACCCGAAAAGTGAGACCAAACAAATCCAATAGCTAAGCTTTTAAAACCGGGACATTCTGATGAACCTTAATTTTTATATTCGCCGTTTAAGTAAACATTATTAACGCATTCAAACATTTTCTCCCAACTTAACGCACCTGTTATAAAGTTAAGTGTTAATTATTTAGCATTCTTCAAAATTCATACGCACACTTACACACATATAAATATATAAAAATCTATTCCAAATAACGAGATTATTTCATTTCAACTGATTACACCCGAAAAATAAACATACTTGCTTGCATCAATAAAGAAGTCAGCTTTAAGATTCAAACCCACAATTGAACCAAATCGAGAGCTTTTATGTTGACATACGTGAAAGTCACCAAATGCTTTGTAATTGTTCTTTTGAATTTAATGCGTAATCGCCCAGTTAAATGTATTAGTTTTACTAATTGTAGCCTTTCTAATTGCACTCGTCCTTAAAATTTATGCTAAATTATCTAAAAATAATTTGGAGCTTAGACTCGAACGAAATCACGATGTCTGCAGACAGTTTGGGAAGTTGAAGGTTAAACCTAGGAAAGTGAAAAAAAATGGTAATCTAATATCAATGATAACTATCAACATCGTTACCATTGAAAAGTAATTAATTCAGATTATCTGAACATTATGCTCATAGAAATAAAATAAAAAAGTTGACAATTTTCCCGTGCAAAATTCAAATTGTAGACCATAATGCAATATTATCTACATATCAGCTTCTCTGCATTATATATATATATATATATATATATATATATATATATATATATATATATATATATATATATATATATATAAATAAAAGGAATGGATTTTTCATTTATTAATCCGACATATTTTATTACTTAAAGGTTATTTTTAGTTGATACCCATATTTGAGTAGACACTCTGTTTATTAAACAGTAAATTTAATTATTTTCATCTGCCGACCTGAATATTCGAGAAATCTTATTAGAAAAATATGCCGGAGAGCGCATATTTTTCTAATAAGATTTCTCGAATATTCAAACGGCAGATGAAAATAAATAGATTTACTGTTTAATAAATAAATCAAATATGGGTATCCACTAAAAATAACGTTTAAGCAATAATAATATATATATTCTTGTACGGTTCCAGGTATAAGATTTTGTTGATTGATTAGAGAATTTCAAGTCTTTTCTCGGTCCCATCTTAAAGAAAGAAAAATGCAATGCACTGTTTGGTATCATCAATGAATGATTCCTTGTCGATAAAAACCGTGTATCAATTTTTATTATTTTGTAGAAGGATCCAAAAACAGCTGAAAAATTAGCAAAACAATTCCTGGAACCGTATTTTCTATTTTCAATTCTAATTTTGGATTTCACATATTTGTCGAACTTCAAATAAATATATTATACATCTGATCACTGTTTGTTTCGCCTGAATTCAACTGTCTGCAACAATTCATAGGGACGTGAAATAACTTATTCAACACCTAGATGGCTGTACTAAATCGCTCAATTCATTTGGATTAAAGAACCAACTCATTTAGCAGAAAACACCATCAACAAGTGATGCATATAGACGCACTAACCGGGCATCTACTTGTTCAAAAGAGACAATGGCACATTAACAACGAACATGATATAGTATAAAGTAATGATACATGATAATGTCTCTTGTGTTACATGAAACACACCCGCTTACGCCTCAGTGAGACTATTGTGTTTAGTATCTATTTTTTAAATCTTATATTGGTCTCTTCCTTTAGTTATTTTTGTCCCAGTCTCACCCCCATTTCAGCCCTACCTTAAAAATGATTTCATTCAACTGGAAAACATCCGGTTTTCATTCATTAAAAATAAAAAAAACCCAAAAAACAAACAACAAAAACAACAACCTTTCTTTCATTTTTCCATTTCTCTTCCCCCCTACCCTGTCAGTCGAATGCTTTTTGCCCCACCCCCTTTTTGGCAGACTGCTTTATCCGGTTGTGTTCAATCGTAGAAGCCTCCTTCGTCATCTTCGGAGGTTCCCCCATGGTTATTTTGGTTGTAGGTAACATACTGGATCGGACATTGTTCATTCATGACAAGGGACTGTAAAATAAAAATAAAAAGGAATTTCAATAAATTTTCAGGGTTTGTTATAAAAACTGAGAATTATGAATGATCGAAACGAAAGTTATTTTAGCAAAACTCATACACATAAATGTTATCTATATTCATCAGTCACTTTATTTGGTATACCCTTCTATTACTGGGTTGGACTCTTGTTTTTATAATTGCTTCAGTTCTTGTCATGAATTCGATTTGATGATGTTCTGGAAGCACTCTGTTATTATAGGATTCTAACCCCCACAATTCTTCTACGTTGGTTGGTTACACATCCAGGATTCGAATCTATCTATCCATCATATTCCAAAGGCGCTCTATGGGATGGAGTTTCGTTGAGTTCTCGACTTTAAAATAGAAAACTCATTGCTGTATTCCATGAACCAATCTATCACCTACTTTCTATCTGTGACACTGTCTTGTCCAGCTGGAAGTGACCACCAGAGGATGGGTGCACTGCCATCTTAAAATGAGACGCGTGGTCAACCATAATATTTAGCTAGGCTACGGTATTTAAACTATCTTTTATTGGTACCAACAGTTCTTTGCGCGATAACGAAGTCGAGTGAGGTTGAAGTATCCGCCGTCGAGTCTGTATCGGATATGAATGCCAGACCTTCCAGGGGAGATCACGTTGATCAATGGAGTCGAGGTACAGGGAGAAGGGTGTCGGAGCTAACAGTCCGCGAGGACTTCTCGATAGTTCACCCAGCCCTCCATTCCGTCGTGGAACATACAGATCAGAGACTCAAAGCGACCCGAACAGCCAAAGCGGACAAGATTAGCCCACAATCCCAGTTTAGGGACTTTGTTGAAGGTCTCGTGGAGATCCCAGAAGATCAAAATCAATTTGCTGCTCACTTCTTCTGGAACTGCCACACACAGAAGACAATGTCGACAGTGCCTCTCGAAGGGCGGAAACCACATTGGAATTCTGGTAGGATCTCTTCTGCCACGGGAAGGAGTCAATTCATTAGTATTCCCACAAGATCTTGTCAAGGGGGAGATGCCACGATAATTTCTGCAGAGTGAACGGTCTCCTTTTGTTGAAAATCGTAACAATGTTGGAACTGTTTTATCTTCCCAGATTTTCTATATCAGGAGCATTAGTGTCTTCAGTTCGAGGCTACCATGGCAGAAAAATTTCATGGGCACATTGGTACATCCGGGTTTCATGAAGCGGAGTGATTTTTCAATTCACAGAAGGTTGAGAGGGGAGGGTGAAATCCACTGTCGGGTAGGGAGTTAGGGTGTGTTTCGTAAGGATGGTGTTACCATCTGAGTCCTTAATGCCTGCCACTGTTTATTTGATAGGACTAAATATTTCATCCGTGAACGCATAAAAGCGATACATATCCCGTTTGTCCGCATATTGGTGGATTTCCGCTATCTTTGCAGTTGTTCTGGATTGCACAGAGTCGTCTTTGGCAGTTTTTCGTTGACTCCTGATTTTTTTCTTTTCAACGAGGTGGGGGTGTTGTTCTCTAAAGCCAAGAGTACTTCTCATTTTTGAACAGTCAACTGGTCAATTTCTTCCTGATGCTCGTCGAACCATGATTTTTTTTCTTTTCTGAAATCAAAGCACTTCTTCAGCTGCTGATGCCATTGCATCGCGCAGGGTTGTCCATTTTCAGCTGCTGATGTCATCCGCGTCTGATGAGTCGTTGAGGTACTTGAAAAGTACCTCAACGTTGAGAGCTCCGATATTTGGGGGTCCTGGATCTTCACATAGTCAAAGCTTCGGTGAGGCTTACCTTCTGGGGTAGGTGGTCAGCAAATAGATATCTGGAGACGCGAAAGCAGAAGAGGGTGGTTTGTCCAGCAATCATCTACACCAGTAGCAATGTCCTCGTCAGTTTAAAGCGTCGACCAGTTGGCTAAACAAGCTCATTCTTGCAAATTATAAAATCAATCTAAATTTATATAGATTGAAAAGAGAACTAGCGAAAAAGAACTAATATCGATGAAATGACTAAACGGCTTAAAGTTTTTTTCAGTAAAGTTCATATAAAAGTGGAGGTCATTTTTTTGCTCATTTGAACGTAGTTACTGAAAAATTTGTATAAAAACTTTAACTCACCAATTTTTCTTCTTTCGCGGGCGGATTACGAAGGAACCACATCGTTGGTGCATATAGAATATTCACTATTGCTATTATCCAGATCATCCTAGAAAAAGATAATTTTTTATATTTGTTTATTAAAACAAATTACATTTTCGCTACAAACTGAAATAAAAATCCCTTTTGTAAAACAGGACTTAAAATATATAATGTTTTAAATGCATAATCAGTCAGTTATGTGCCATGCGTGATACACACATAGGCAATTATATATCTTTCGATACATGACTGACGAGTTGGTTGCCATTTCTTTCTGCGGTAGACCAGTTGCCATCCAAGGCTATAGAACCCGGTTTGTCCTGCTATTTACCCATAGCTGGGGGAGAAGAAGAGGATTCATACCTCACCCTAGGGTATTAGCACGTAAGTGAATGTAATGGATTCGAGTGGAATTCGAATCCTATAATGAACATATCTATCTAGGATAGATATATATGTATGCATGCATATATAGTTGAGCTTATAAAAGCACTCATAAAAAATTGGAAAGAAGAAAAAGAACGGAAAATAAAAGTATAAGTAAATGCAAAAAGTCAAGCAGAAAGAGATGCAAATTAAAAGAAGGGAAAAGATATAAAGTAAAAAAAAAAAGTGATATAAAAGAGAAAAAAAAGAAAAAGATAAGAAATAGGAAAGACAGGTAAGGAACAGACTCAGAAAAAGTTCAATATAGACAGATCATGAAGAGGCATAGATAGATAATGATATTGCGTAGAAAAAAAAAAGAGATAGAAAGAAAATTAGGCATCTTTAGGAGGCAAAAATTCCACCATTTTTAAGGGAAATTGAACAACATATGCTGATTTATTTTTTTTAATTATATTCTTGTGTATAAGCAGTCACACATCGAAATCAAATTTATGAAAGAATTGTTCAATTCTTAATGCTTTTGTTCGACTATTTTCCATCTTCATTAGTCATTATCAAGAATGTTAATAACAATAGAGAAATAGATTTTTATTAGATTCAGGTTGACACTATTTTTTTAGAAATGTTATATTATTTTATATGTACATGTATCAAATGCATGTGGCGCCATGTCTATGATGTTACATGTATGTAAATATATATAAAGAATTACAATTTTACATTATTCGGACTATTGTCCTCATTTTTGTCGCCATATTTATTACAACGTTTCGGCCGTTTACGCTCCGGGCTTCTTCAGGTGGTTGGAATGTCGAACTTAAACACTTTATTTCGCTCACTGAAGTAGACTGTTCTAGTTCCACGTGCCATGTTTAATGGATGTCAGTTATCAGTTATCTCCTATTAATTTCCCTTCTGAACGTTCTGGAGATGCTCGCGATCGGATCCCTACAGAGGAACGAAAACATCATCATACTACCGGCTGACAAAGTTAATGCGACTGTAGTGATGGACAAATCAGAGTATACAAGAAAACTGGAAGACCTCATTAGCAATGGTAGCTACAGCAAAGTGAAAAAGGATCCTACTATGAAAACGGAATGCAAACTGTCACAGATCCTAATCAAGAACAAGGATCACTTCGCACCTAAGACGTATAGGCAGTTATCGCAGCGTTACACCAAGCTACCCCACATATACGGTCTCCCTAAGATTCACAAAGACGGTATTCCGCTCAGGTCGATTGTTAGTTGCTAAGGCTCTTTGTGCCACCCTCTGAGTCACTTTCTTGTAGATATAATTGACCCATTGATCGGAAAGTCTCCTTCATATGTCCGAAACTCCGCCCACTTCGTAGAAATAATCAAAGATGCTCCCATCCTATACAACCAGATGGTGAGCTTGGAAGTGGTGAGTTTGTTCACCAAGGTACACACGGAGGAGGCACTCTCAGTAGTCAGAGACAGACTGGCCTCTGGCTCATCCCTAGAAGATAGATAATCTGATGGAGATGTTGGCTTTCTGTACACAAACAACACACTTCGGAATGGGATCACACATATATCGACAGGATGAGGGCTTAGCAATGGGCTTGCCATTATCACCAGCAATGGCGAATATAGACATGGAACACTTTGAGGAAATGGCATTAGAATCTATATCTCCAAAGCCAACTATATGGTTAAGGTACGTAGATGACACCTTCATACGCTGGCACACCAGGAAGAGGTTCAGGTTCTACTGGACCATGTGAACTTTGATACAGTTCACAATAGAGAAAGAGAGTAACATTCCTGGATGTTCTAATATCTTGAACAGAGCATGGGTTCAAGACATCCGTATACCGTAAACCGACATTCACCGGACAGTACTTCAATTTCAACTCCCACCATCCATACAGCGTAAAGAAAGGGATCGTCCGCTGATTACATCACCGAGAAAAAGTCATAAGTGGCGACCCAGAGACATTAGATAAAGAATTGGTCAGTATAAGTAGTAACCTACAACGTAACAACTACCCTGGGTACATGACAGCAGCCCCCAAAAAACTGGGATAGGCGGGTACAAGAGGAGGAACACTCAGAAAACAGTCTGCCTTATGTGAAGGGATTATCAGAGAAAATACAAAGTATCTGCGGTCCATATAACATCAGGACAACCTTCAAAAGCTTGACGACACTTCGCAGATATCTCTCCCATAGAGGAGAACATGACTAAAGACTGTGTGTACGCTATCCCGTGCAGCTGCGGAAAGAAATATAAAGGGGAGGCAGGCAAGGCTTCAAGACCACCAGGAAGCTGTAACACGAGGGGAAATGGAAAAATCAGGCGTGGCTGACCACATATGGAGAAAGAAGGGAGATCACCGCCCTCTGTGGGATCAGGTTGAGATCATAAACAAGGAACACCATTGAAAAATTCGAAAACTTAATGAATCAGCACATATGCTAGGCTGCAAAAATCTCCTGAGCCAACCAAGCATAGAAATGAATACAATATGGGAACCTGTAATAAGGAATGCAAGAGAAAAGCGATAAAAACAACAAAAGTTGCAATATGAGCTCTGGTAAAAACATGAAATGATAACAGCAAAAAATTGCAATATGAGCTTTGGTAAAAATGGTTGCTGAAGACATTAGGTTTATAATACCTAGAAATTCATACACAGATGTATTCAAGAACACATGGAACAATGGATAAAGGCGTTGGTTAGATCCAGTGACAGAACCCAAAGAGTATGCGTTCAATACCCATTTAAGGCAGTGGAGAACTTTCAGGAGGAAATTAACAGGAGATAACTGACATCCATTAAACATGGCACGTGGAACTAGAACAGTCTAACCCGGTGAGCGAAATAAAGGGTTCAGTTCAACATTCCAACCACCTGAAGAAGGCCGGAGCGTACAACGGCCGAAACTTTGTAATAAATATGGTGACAAAGATGAGGACAATAGTCTAAATAATGTATATAATACCTCATCTCAGAAATATAAACAGATACAATTTTACAATTAGTCCGTTAGTAATTACAAAACCCGATAAGGATCAAGATTTTAACACTTTAAAATGCCTTCATCTATATTGAAAGATATCGTGTTTCATGTGGCTTTTTTCTTATGTATAAACTAGTGTATGTTTAATATTAACAACAATATACTTATGCACTAGTGCTTGTCTAATATTAGAAATCATATTGTGCTCCCATTGGCTGATCGATAAGAGTAGGAATTGCACTAAGTTTCGATAAGTAACATGTTAACCTACGAGACAGTGTGGTGGTTGGGTGGCTAATATAATATTTTTTATCATTAGCGATGGAGAATTCAAACGAAACACTTTTTTTTAAAACATGAGTCTGATTATTTAGGTCTAGTTTTATGAGCAATTATTAATTAGAATTTCATTTATTTAATAAAATAATATTCATTGAAAAATAGGTATTTTTTGCAAACATTAAGTGATACGTACTTGCGAATGAGATTTTTATGGATTTTTCATCTGGTTTATAATTAAGATACATCTGGTTGCAATAATAATGAGCATTAATAATAGAAAAAATGAATGAGGTTTTCATTTTTGTTTATATCAGGTTTGTTTTATTTTTTAAAAAGTACTTAAAGCTAATTTTCTTTGCTCATCGACAACATTGTGCAGAAAACAAATTATTTTAAGTCGATTAGTAAATAATATTAGCTTTAAAGAATATGTCAGTTTATTTTGCAAGTTCATTTTTTTTAAATAAAATTGTTATTAACCAACCGATGTTTGTAAAAATTTCAGGATTTATTTATATGAAAATTATATCACGTAGATTCCAGCTTATCATATGTTTTTATTAAAAAATAATGATAACTTGTTTTGAGTATTAGATATTGTTTATACATACATTGTTTATTATAAATAAATTCAAATTATATAATTTATATAAACATTGATAACTATTCTATGTATATAAATAAATTATTTTATTGTCTCACTGATATTGTTTAACCAACATTACGCTTTCATTCACTGATTTTGTTAAATTTTCCACCGTTTTCCTTTAAAATTTACAGCAATTTTTATTGTTCATCATTATATTTTCAATTTCATATCCATCTTTTAATGATAGAAAAGTTTTCTATTGGATGAGTAGGTTGTGGCCATTCCATTAATTTGAAGTGTTTTGAGAGCATTTTATTTTGATAAGGTGCATAATAATCAGTTTTGAAAAATGTAAAGTAGCGTTTGTCTTGAGTGAATATACTCTTTAGTTTGTTGGTTGCATAACGTACGAGAACCTGTAATAATTCTTTGAATTTATATTGACATCATCAAATCTGAAGGGGCCTATATTTTTTTGGCGATAATACTTGTCCCCCAAATATTATTCTATCACCTCTTAGTCCTGTTGGTTGACTATTTCAGCAGTCAAGCCCATCCAATCTAGTTATACATTTATCATTAAACATTTCTGTTGAGAAATAAGTTTTCATGTACTTCTTCACCCAACTCATGTTTCTATTTGTAATGTTTATTTAAAAGTGGCGATATGAATTAGCCAACGTACTTAATACTGTGCATCATTTCTTTAACTGTCCGGATGAAAGTTCTTCTATAGCACCTAGATTATGAATTTAAGTGCAGTACTAGATTGGCAGCTAGGTCTCATCATTTCACAACTGAAATGGCTAGATGTAAACGTAATAGTTTCTTTTCTCGCTTGTGAGACTCTCCCGGCTTGTTGCTTTCCAGTCAAGTTTGATTTTCAAAAGTTTAAATGCAATGTCAATCGTTCTCTTCTGTCTTATTTTTCTTCTTTTAATATTTCTTCTTCTTAATAATGTTTTCTTTTTCTTGTATTAGTTCACACTCAGTAACTCTCTCTGCGTGTTAGTGGCTTTGTTAACTTGCTTGGGGTGAAATTATAAAAAAATGTATATCCTGAACATTTTAACAAAATTAGTTGGTTAATAACAATTTTTTTAGAGTATTAAGTTACGTATTAAAAGTTTCAATATAGTAGACAAAATGAAGTACGTCAAGAGAGAAATTAAAAGTAAATGAAGCAGAGTGAAAAAGAAAATTAGATAAGATCAGAGTTGATAATTATTTGAAAAAAGTAACCTAATTGAACATTCGATTCCAATAGAGATGTGCTGTGATTGGCTGGATCAGTAAGTCATGTTCAACACGATTTGAAATTTAACAAAATCTTTATAGAAACAATTACAGTATAAGATAATATAATGCATATAAGATAATATAATGCATATAAGCATATATAATATAATGCATATAAGATAAATATAATGCATATAAGATAATATAATGCATATAAGATAATATAATGCATATAAGATAATATAATGCATATAAGATAAAAATTATAATATATAATGCATATAAGATAATATAATGCATATAAGATAATTAATGCATATAAGATAATATAATGCATATAAGATAATATAATGCATATAAGATAATATAATGCATATAAGATAATATAAGCATATAAGATAATATAATGCATATAAGATATAATGCATATAAGATAATATAATGCATATAAGATAATATAATGCATATAAGATAATATAATGCATATAAGATAATATAATGCATATAAGATAATATAATGCATATAAGATAATATAATGCATATAAGATAATATAATGCATATAAGATAATATAATGCATATAAGATAATATAATGCATATAAGATAATATAATGCATATAAGATAATATAATGCATATAAAATAATGCATATAAGATAATATAATGCATATAAGATAATATAATGCATATAAGATAATATAATATAAAGCATATAAGATAATATAATGCATATAAGATAATATAATATATAAGATAATATAATGCATATAAGATAATATAATGCATATAAGATAATATAATGCATATAAGATAATATAAGATAATATAATGCATATAAGATAATATAATGATAATATATGCATATAAGATAATATAATGCATATAAGATAATATAATGCATATAAGATAATATAATGCATATAAGATAATATAATGCATATAAGATAATATAATGCATATAAGATAATATAATGCATATAAGATAATATAATGCATATAAGATAATATAATGCATATAAGATAATATAATGCATATAAGATAATATAATGCATATAAGATAATATAATGCATATAAGATAATATAATGCATATAAGATAATATAAGCATATAAGATATAATGCATATAAGATAATATAATGCATATAAAGATAATATTTTTAAGGATATGTTCATCGACGTTTGCTATCCAATTTTAATCTTGTTGTGAGAAGCGGCTTTGATATCGAATTAGAGTTGAACAGAAAGCTAAAATAATTTATCCTTTAATGAACTTACTAGTTTAATTAATTGTTTTTTGTTTCTGTCTATATTTCTGAGATGTGGTATTGTAATTATTTACACTATTTACATTGTTCAGTCTGCTTTCCTCATCTTTATTGGTATGTATATAAGGACACATGATCCATTGTATAAAAAATGGTTGAAGTAACCAAGTGACTTGACCCAAAGACTTGTGGTTACAGCAGAGGCGAACAAAAACTGGGAAAGTTGAGTTAAAGGGAGATAACTGATAATGAGATATCCTAAAGAGGCATGACACGTGGAACTAGAAAAATATACCTCTGTGGACGAAATAAAGGGTTCGGTTTGAAATTTCAATTACGACCGAAATGTCGTGAATATGGCAAAAGAGATGAGGACAATAGTCCAAACAATGCAAATAATGTAAACAATTTTTGTTTGATTAATTGCATGACACGAAAATGATAGCCAAACGATTCATTTTTTTATGACGAGTTATTTTTTAAATGGCACTTATTGAATGTGCACTTTGAAGATATTCAGGCTTATTATTATTTTCTGTGACGTGCGTGGAGTCATCGCTAGTAATGAATAGCCAGTAGTTATTCATTTATATGCTTTCTTGTTGAATGGCTTCTCTTGAATCTATACTGAAAATTAATAAAATGGTTCATCAACAATATGGCACTTGTGCACGTTCATTGATGTGACAACATTTCTGTATTGTTGATTATGATAGAAAAATTGCCTTCTAATAACGGTTAAAGATTTATTACAAGAGAAATATTTAATGAAAAAGAACCAGCAAAACATTTTCACATCATTAATTTTATTTTCTTGGCAATCTAAATGTAGACACTCTTTTGTAAACAGAGGTTCCACTATAGAGAATTTTCTCCAGTAAAAAGAAAATATGGACGGATTTTAACATGAAAATAAAGTTGTGGATTAAAACGCCAATAGAAAATTATAAACATGTAAAATAGATAATTGCCTGTGACATTAAATTGATCCCATTCATTGCATGAGTGCACAGAAGATATTTCATAACCAAATATTTTTCTTTGAGGGTCATTTTTTGTTGTGTTTCTGTATATATTATTCGTCTACGCACGGATTTGGTTTGATTTGGTTTATTTTGCTTTAAGACATATTAACCTTGATGGGTTATTTAATGCCGACAAGATTTTTAAGATAGGTTCGTATGAATAGAATATGTATTCTTTGTAAGCAATCAGTTTGTAGGGGATAAGGTTTCATTGATGTATTTTTGTAAAGAGAACTTTTGTCGAGAGTCAAATGTATTGTGGTAATATTTTTTTTCCAAAATGTATTGCTGGTATTTTTTACTATAAAAATGTATTTTTATACTTTGACAGTTTTGACCTTAGTTTGAGGGTTAACTATTTTCCCATAGTTAGGGCCCTAACAGGTAATACCACCCCGAGTCTGAGAAGACCTGGGAACAACAGCAATTAAGAGGTGTTTTCACGCTCCTCAAAAACTCCTGATTAGAGGTCTTGCTACCGGACGTAATTTATCATCATACCCAGATACAAGGGAGTCTTAAACAAACTGTCACTATAGTTCCAACCAATTGACTTGCTCTGTATCTATTTCCCCACCTTAATTTATCAATCTTCAATAATTTAATAATTCGTTAATAATTCGTAAATATTTTAACTGTTGACTTGTTTGTAATTGAATAGTGAGTAAATATTTTGCATGAAGTTAAAGTGAACTACAAATCTGTAATACGCCTAGAAATGTGCAAATTTCCAGATTAGATAATTGCTTGGGACTTTAAATTGATTCTATTCACCGCATGATTGCAGAGAAAACATTTCATATCCAAATATGCATATTTCAGAGTGTCGTATTGTTCTTCGATTTTCATCTTCACAGGAAACAGAAAACCCAAGATGTTTTTACATAACAACATCGAAATGTTCGAAATGTTCATTATAACCATTGAGGTTTTGAATTTGGAATTTTATCTTCCATTAAAAACTTTTTCAATATAGTAATGGTAAAATTAGCAGTTACCATACAGGAAAAATTAACCATTCATTGACCAAACAGTAACAGTTACTGTCGGTTGAAATTTATAAAATCTTTTCATTAAAACAGTTTTTCAGGAAATTAAACCTGTTAAGTCCACGAATTGTTATAGCTCTTTCGAAAAATGACGGGAGTTTTCTTCCAGTCCTTTTGTCTTTGGTAATGTGGGAAGTTCATATCTTGATTATATCATTATTTTTTCTGATTTCTATATGCGCTGCCCACTTTTTGTGGTTATAGTTGACTAGGAGCCGAACCACTGAATGGAATTACAGAGTATTCACATTTCTGAAAAAGAAAATGGAGGCTGATTTGTGTTTATTACTTACCATGCAAAACCCACACTTCGTACGAAAGCGCCGCCAAGCGCCGGACCTAAAAAAGAAATGAAAAAGAAAGCTTGTTAATATGTATCAGTTATATCAATGGATTAATCGGTCAAATATACGAGATTGGATTCGTAATGAAGACTTCATGAATGAAATTTTGGCGGTTCTCCCGAGCTGAGAAACCTTGCCAGTTGTGATTTAAGTATCTAAAAGTTCAATGTTATGAGGCATATTTGCGTATGCAGGCATAACCATATTTTAATCTGTACTTGATGATTGTGAGTAGTTTGTATCAATTTAGCGTTACCCGACATCAAAGACGTATCGAATTTGCCATCGAGGTAAGTACTTCGTGTTCAACTGTAGCGAATGGTGCACAATCCATCGTGCTAAGCCTTAAAAAGATGCCTGATTCGGGAATCCTCGTTGGTGAATCATGAAGTCTTTGATTGGTGTTTCAGCCTAAGTTAAAGAATTTGGTAAAGGCTTTCGGGAATAGCGCTGAATAAGTCCTACCTACTTTCGTTGTATGCTGGCAGTAGATTATCTGATCTCGCAAGCTGTTGTTAGTAAGATTCTGTGTTGCTGGTCCGCACTTGAAATACTGTTAGTCAATATCTATATCTAAATTTCAGTACACACGCGGTAAATTTCCATATATATGAAAATTCTCTTTGATAAGATAACTTAATTGACGACAAATTATAGTGTGGCATTTGAATATTTATGCTAATAAAATGTCCGATGTTGGTTTTCTTCGCAACTAATCGATTCTTGGTTAGTCGGAGTTGGATAGGAGGTAGAATTGATTGGCCATTCGCATCGGAGTTGTTTTGTTTTTATAAACAAAATACAAAACTCAATTATTAACCAACCAGCAGGGAAAAAAATAAGTACAAAAATAAAGCTTACTTGCGACTGTGAGTTCGACCACACATAAAAAGGGAAAGTACTGTTGCTTATCTAGTTATGACGTTGTTCTCTTAATGTGGGATTTTCATTACAAGTGTACATTTGATTACGAGTAAAATCTGAGATACTCAGTACTATCAAAACGTATATGGCCAATTGTTGGCTTTAAAAAAAATGGAAGTCTATTAAATTCTAGAAAATAACTTGAAATCATTTCCAAACATTGTTTCCACAAGAAATACTTTTGTATAATATTCCATGAGTCATTTGTTAAAAACGATGGTTTTTCAAATATTTTATATTTTGCAAAATACCATTCAAGTCCATAAATAGGTAATTGTCCTCTCAGTAACATTTCCATCGTAACTCCGAGCTCAATCAATCTATTCGTTCATGTTTACATGTTAAACCTGAATTTCTCTTTCAATTAATTTTTTTGTAATATTTCTGTATGCCATTTAAACTTGATATTATTTTTATTTTTAATTTTATTCTTTTATTTGCAGTCATTTATTATTAGAAGCCGGTAATTCAACATGCGTTTTCATTTAAAACATTAATGAGTCATCTTGAAAAAATGCCTCTTCCTCTTTCGCTATTTTAGGGAAACCAGACGTTTTGATAAACGCATTAAGACATTTTGGACGAACAGATCACGTGCACAAGAACCCCATTTTGCTCTTATTTTTCCCGTCAACACCGGAAACTTTTCAGCAAATTTTGAGTGCAAAATATTCTCACGTATTACTTGACTGGGAAATATCCATAATTCATTAATTTTATAACAATTAATTCATTACACCAGATGCAGGCAGGCACACATATAAACCAACCCGATTAATACTTTCAGAAATAAAAGTTGATGAAAAATACGAACTGTCGATTTTAATCTTAAAGATACCGAAAGTATCCTGCTAATTGAAAAGCGATATTCTAATTTCTTGTTTTGTTCTTTACTAAGCTTGATTCAGGCATAAGGATGGGGTACTTAGTGAGACTCGAACACACTTCGCAGCAGTAAAGATATGCTAAGCTAGCTTGATAACTATTACTACACAGTGACGTCCACAGAGAAGTTAATTTGAATTAGGCAAAAGATGAAATGTGCTTTCATTTGAAGTGACAAATTCAAAGGATTTACAAAACCTGGCGTGTTTAATATCTTTAGAAACAATTGGTTGGTGAATTAAAAGCAAAAATATTTAAAGGACGAAAAACATAATCTGATATTCAAAGGTTTTCGCAGCTCCTGATAAAAGCTAAAATAACATAAAAAGTAAAATGAGACAAAATACTCTGACTGAAAATATAATTGCAACCCTTTGAATTTATGTTTAAATTTGTTCAAGATTAATCATACGGGTAATATAGACTTAAACGATCACATCTGTGCACAGGAGTGTATTAACAGTTCAAAGACCCGTATAAATACATTGTATATCCTTTCGCAACCATTTTATTTTACAGATAGCGAATATCAGCCTGCGATACATTATTTAACACCTCTTGCACTTGTTGACACTACAACAAGAGTTAGAGGTAGATCATAGCTCTGATGATCGTGTTGGTTAAGGTAGGTGCTGAAAATTTGCGGACCATGGAATGCATCACGGGCATCATTTAGGCTGGCATTATACTGCTGGAACACCACAATGCTTTCTCATTGCAAGAATGAACAATGTTTAGAACATAGTTTATTGACCCAAGATTTGAACAGGTTAAGATTGTAGTGATCTTGGGAGTCGGTTCCACAAAGCAGAGGTTTGTGGGGAAAAGCTGCTCGAGTGGAACTTACATCTCACGATTGGAATATGAAGGGAATGAGGGGGGGTTCGCTATAATGTGCTTGGCAAGCGGGTCTTAGCCATGAAAATTAGAACTGGTGGAACTAAAGAATGTAGCTCGTCTGAACACTTTCCATGGAAATGGTGATAGAGCAGCAAGTGGCTTGCGACGTCTCGTCTGTGGGAAAAGGGTTGTAGGGTGGAAAATAATTCGTTATCATCAATGACGCGGAGACGCTTTTAAACTGTCAAGGCTGGGTAGCTCTTACCCATATATGTCAGCAGGACTCCATTTTCGGCATGTTTTGGCTCATGTAACGGTAGAGAATATCAGAAGGAGTCAAGTACAGATTAGCAGGAGGAGTCAAGTACAGAATAGCAGGAGGAGTCAAGTACAGAATAGCAGGAGGAGTCAGGTAAAGAATATCAGGAGAAGTCAGGTACTGAATAGCAGGAGGAGTCAAGTACAGAATATCAGGAGGAGTCAGGTACAGAATAGCAGGAGGAGTCAGGTACAGAATAGCAGGAGGAGTCAAGTACAGAATAGCAGGAGGAGTCAGGTACAGAATAGCAGGAGGAGTCATGTACAGAATAGCAGGAGGAGTCATGTATTTAGTGGAGCGGTACAGGGAACTGACCATTTTCCCAGCATCTTTAGCGATGGATCGTATGTACGAGTTCCACTTGAGGTCCTAATAGGCGCTGAAGACACGAGACCTCTCTGAGAGAGCACCCGTTCACTGCAATAGGTGAAAATTTAGCTACGTTTCACAAACAAGCAAAAGATTAATTGTATGGACGCAGAACCAATGGGCACTACAGGGCGCCATTCAATTTCCCAGATGATTCACTAGTGATTGGAAACATCAATAATAGTTTTGCGGCGTAAATGAAGGACACGAATAAGTTTTCCTGCGGCAAGTAAATGAGTTCGAGCGGTTCGTATTCCGTGTGTGTGTGTGTGCGTGCGTGTGTGTGTGTGTGTGTGTGCGTATCTGCCACTGCCAAATGGCACTCGTATGTACGAGGTGGCCGTCAGATGTTGGTCTGCTAGTATAAGAATATTCATTTGAACACTACTGCCAACATCGAAGCATCGTCAATGTGTCACGTTCAAAATGTGCAGCAATCCGACTTTTCTGAAATTATTCTAGTTGAAGTAAAGATTTGCTAGTACCGGACTTTTACTGCGCTCAAACTTATCGCAGCCTGCGTCACGTCTAAAGTTCAGACCCAAACCGCACACTGTTATGGATGTTACTATGGTAAAAGATGTCCAACATTGGGTAGACAGAACTGTTCGGAATCCGGCAATGATTGTGCTAGTCATTTGGTCGCTCGTATTAGTCTTTTTTGAAACTGTTAATCACTCAAGATTATGTTCTCTCTCTCCCAGAAACTATAATTAAGGGGCCCGCTCAGCATACTTGCAGTATAGCTCTGTGGGTGGTGAAGAAATACAAGTATCCTTGAGCAGACGTCTGTAAGTGAATAGTTTATTCATCAGTGTTGCTTGATTTTTCAGTGTTGCTAGCCACTCTAAGAGATGAGCATACTCAGAAACAGGTAGTCAGCTTTACTTTGATAAAATAAAGTGAATAAAATTTAAAAACAGTTACGATAACGACATAGTAAAAAATTGGGAATAAAAACAGAAGACTATGCTTCTCTTAATTATCAATGCTTCCATGACCGAAGTGCTTTAAGTGACGTTCATGAAAGAGACTTCCTAGTTCAAGTCTCGTTGGAACTTATTTATTACTTATTTTTTTAATAGTCGAAGAGAGTATCGACCCTGATGAAAGTAACATTAATAACTAGTAATAAAATAATAACAGTGTAAGGTTAATCTTCGGATACTGATAAAAATCAAGCAACACTGATGAATAAACTATTCACTATAATTTTAAAGACTTATGAACCTTTTAATGTTAGCATATTTATATTTTTTATGTGCCATGTCCTTTCAGGACGTAAACGATCATGGCTCTCCACATCGTCCTATCCCTTGCAGCTCTCAACCAGTTCCTTCCCTCTGCTATCTCCCCCAGACCATGTTGTCATCCACTTGCTTAAGGCCGCTAGGTATGTCATGCGTTGTTATCCCTTGTCTCTCTTTCACTCTAAACCAGTGAGTATCAGATTCTCCAGGCCTTCCTTCCTCATTATGTGTCACAGAAACTTCAGCTGCCTCTTCCTGATATTAAGTATAAGCCTCCTCCTTGTTTGCAACCTTTCTAAGATCTCATCGTTGCTCACACGCTCGGTCTATGATATCCTTAGCATCCTTCTGTAGAACCACATCTTCGTCGCCCCGAGTCTCTTCTTCATTTTTGAGGAAATCGTCCAACATTCGCTGCCGTAAAGAAGGACCGATGTCATGTAACAGTTCAAGTATTCTTTTCTTTGTTACCAAAGATATCCTCCTGTCTCGCAATACTCCGCCCAGCATTGGAATGTATCCTTGGCCATCCCGACACGCCTACAGATCTCAGTGTCGCACTTAACATACTTTGTCAAGACGCTTCTCAGGTATTTAAACTTCCGGCATATTTTTATTAGGAAACATTATAAACGCTTCTTCATAATTTTCATATTAAATTTAGTATTTGTCACATCAGGAATTTAGGACATTTTTGCCGATTCATTGATGTCTCACAAAAATAGAATTGTTAGTCTTGATATGTATCCTTCTATATTTGTTTTTTTTTTTGTAAATTACACCCATTCGGAAAGTGATAAACGAATTAACTTTATTGATCTGGTGATTTACCTGTTTTGATATCAGCTCTTAGTTTATTTTGCTTTTCACTTAAAGGTAATGATTATCAGTTATTTTTAAGCGTAATAAATGTGAAATTCAGGTGATAATAATTATGAAAAGCATAAAAAGAAAAAAAGTGCAATATCATTTGCTTCATTGAAATGTGAGAAACAAAACGAAAAAAACAATAGAAGCCATTTCTAAATATATTTTGTAGTGCTGGAATTATTTAGCCAAAAGGTTAATTCCTAAAACTGTTTTATGACGAACAACAACTTGGCAGAAAACAAAATGCAAATTCATAATGATACCGTTATTTTTCCTTTTATTTACGGCAAATTTATTTTAGTTTTATCGTAAAATGTTTGCGTCATTGACGATCATTTTAACTGGAGGATGAATAGAATTAGAGCAATGAGAGGGAAAGAAGTCACCGAGGGAAGAGAATCAAAAAGAATAAAGATAATATGAAACTTATAATAATCCTATATCGTTCGAAGAGGGAACCATTGTCAATCGTGATAACGTTTCATAAGAGAGATACTTATAAATAGTCGATAGGCAACACAAGGATTGCAAGCACAATTTCAAAATAAAAATATTTAATTATTCTAAAAAGAAAAAAAAGAAAAAAAATGTAAATTAAATTTATTGTTAAAGTGTATATAAAGTGTATCGATTATTTACGATAAGTTTTTTGATAACAAAAATTACGAATAAAATATTAAATTTGTTTTCATATTAATCAAGTAAACATTCAAGTACACATTTTCTCATTTTAAATTGAATTTGATATTGTCTCTTTCGAAATTGATTTCATTCACGGTTAAATATTGATTTATAGCTTTGTTGAGTAGCCTACAATGAATGTGATGAATAATTTGTAAGCTTCACTATTTTTTATGTTATAAATAGTTATGGTGAAGTAATAATGACGTTGTTTTATAAATCTACTTTTACATTTAGTTTACTTTTTCTTCTTTTTAGTTTCTTTTCACTTTGTAATCTTCATTGGTTACATTCACTGCCTCGACGTAAGGTTAAGTAGATATACAAATTTACATTAGACTACATTTTGACATTTGATATCAATTAGAAAGGATAAAAAGGTGATAAATGTTAAAAAACGTGTATACTGTATAAGATAGAAATAAGATGGTTGCAATGAATTTCTTATTATATGAATCGTTGTCAATCATTAATGACAATTCATTTGTATTGATTGCTGAATATTTGAGCCGCCATATTTACAGTATTATGTAATATGTGGGAAAATTCTGCCAACTCTGTTGTCATAATTTGTGACATCGAGTTATGTTTTGCGTTTAAAGCATTCGAGTAAGTCTGAGAAAAGCGTTTGGAAATTGGTTATTCAATAACAAATTTTTGCCCCAAATTTTTCATTTGTTGCTGCATCTTGAATCTGCATCTTGGATTATTTATTTTTGTCAAAAACAATTCTCTCATTTGTGACTATCGTTAAAGGGACATGGTTAGTGAAGATGGTTACTGCAGAAGTTTTGAATGAACCTGATGAAATGCTTTTTCGATTCTTCACTTTCTTTCTTGTTCACACGAGAGCACAAGTTGCATTTTGCTGAAAGTTTTAATGGAAACCCTTAAGAGAAATGAAAACCAACGTTACAGATTTTAGGACTCAAATTCTATGATAATTTAACTGCTATCTTTGTAAATTCGCATATAAAATTTAATGAAAGTGTATTGGTAATTTGTAGTTTTTTTTCGTGTTACAAATAACCAACGATAATTTCATAGACGCAATAGTATCGAAAATAATTATAATAATTTTGTACACTTAAAAATGGGAAACAGAAATGATAATGATGGTAGAAGCGATCAAACAAAATCTTTTTATGAATATAATGTTTCGATTTTTAGAAAAGATTTTAATAACAGAAAACGCATTATAAAAGTATGATGTTGCTTACCGACAGCATAACCAAGACAGAAAGCGACATCAGCAATGGCGTAGACGCTACCATAAACTGATACGTGACGTAAGTCCACCAGATAACCCATTAGAGGCATCATTGAAGAATCAACCATTCCTGAAACATCAAACAAATCATATCAAAATACCTTCGAAAATATCACAATTTTGCACTGGAGTCTCAATGTTTTTGCTTTCGTCTTTTTTTTTGACTTGTATTTTTCTACTTGGTTTTTAGAATGTAACTTATATGAACAGAAGATTTAAAATAATAGCTTTTCTTTTACCTTTACATTTTTTTTTTCGTATATTGCTGACTGCCTTTAAATGCACACACATATCACGAGGTTACATGTCGACTCAGTTTCAAATACCGATTTCGAATCAATGCTGCTCTGCTGGTAACGAATCCAGAATCGATTCGGCGCCAGTGGCGAATGTTGATATCGCTTTCGAGTTAATGGCTGTGAAAAAAGGCACGAAAGCTAATCTCCCTGTGCTCTGTTCCATCGCCAATCATCTCGACGCAGTCTTGTCTCTGGCATGCCGCAAAGGGGAAAGGGAAGAGAGGTGGTTAGTGAATACACAAACAATCCACATTACTTACCCAGCTGCCATATCCATTGTTAGTTATGAAATATGGTCCTTTATATTCTATTAAGATAATTATTGAAAATGACCGAGCGGAGATAGCTGTGCGAAAGACTCTTTATGCTCGATAATCCGTGTGAGTCAAATTATAATTAAGGGTACATAACTTTCTTCATGCAATGATTACATAAAAGAAAAACTGATGATGATGAAAAATTCTTCATATGTGGCGACAAATTGTTTACTCTTCACAAAAACAAATGGCGTTAAAACTAAAACATCACACTCTACCTCTCTCTCCTCTACTTCTCACTCTTTTATATATATATATATATATGGACACATGTGAGGGAGTGTGCGAGAGGAGAGAGTGTGAGAAAGATAGACGAGAGTGTGAGTGACAAAGAAGGAAGAGAGTCACACATCATGCTTACATTCTTAGAAATGTTTACTGTTATTCATCCCTCTTCAAAATTCATATGGAGTCGCAATTTTGAAAGCATTTCATTATGGGTGAATGCTTGCCAGCGATCTGGACATAGGACCATCAGAGGCTTAAATGGACTAAGCCCGCATAATATCATTTCGTAAAAATCACTTCAGTATCTGTCTATATTTCTGAGATGAGCTTTTATGTACACTATTTACATTATTCGGACTATTGTCCTCATCTTTGTTGCCATATTACATCCAAGTTCTCCACTGCCTTAACTAGGTATTGAACTCACACTCTTTGGGTCCTGTCATTGGATCTAATCCAAAGAGTGTGAGTTCAATACCTGGTTAAGGCAGTGGAGAACCTGGAGAGTGGAATTAACAGAAGATAACTGATAACTGACATCCATTAGACATGGCACGTGGAACGAGAACAGTCTACCCCAGTGAACGAAATAAAGGGTTCAGTTCGACATTCCAACCACTCGAAGAAAGCCGGAGCGTACAACTGCCGAAACGTTGTGATAAATATAGCAACCAAGATGAACACGATAGTCCGAACAATGTAAATAGTGTAACAATCACTTGTAGACATTTTCTCAATTCACTGTTGTTGTTGAAACAAAGATGTCACTACACTATCGTATATATTTCAAGTACAAAATTTAATTCGACAAGAGAAAATAGTGCCAGACATTTATTTAAAACAAGGTAGACACCGAGAATCCAGAAGCATTACTTACCAATTCCAAATCCTACCGCGAAATTTGGTACAATTAGATGTCCTATATTCTTGGCGAATGGTATCTGAAAAGAAATGATGAACATTGTTGAAAAAAGATCTTAACATTGTATTCAATGGATTTCTACGTAACATTTAGACGGTGTGATTGGAAAATTGTTTGGGTGGCTGGAATATTTCTTTATACTAATCCCAAATAAATACTTATACTAAATAAACAAGGTGGGTTTCAAAACTGTTAATTAAAATATAAAGTATGAAAAAATATCTGATAAAACGAATATCTGAAATAAGCATGACTCCGGAGTATTTTGTCTTAAAAAAATCTCAACCAGTCTGAAATTCAAGTGTACTTTCAGTCAGTTCAGTTATATGCCATGCGTGATACACGCGTAGGCGATCATGTACCTTTCGATACATGACTGACGTGGAAGATTTTTTATTAATTTAACTGTGCCGTCATTTTGACAGGCATAAATAAATATATCAAATTATTATTATCAGTCAGCCCTCTCATCTCAGTGAACATATTCGAACAGTCAACTATGAGGGTCGGCTTGAGAAGTTTATAAGGCTGACCAAGATATAAATGTAAATAGACACACAAGCTTGTGGACTAAAAATACATGCAAATGTACCAGAATACAACAGCAGGTATACCAACTGTTTGTATTCTGGTTTGCATGATAACTACAATAGCCAGCTTTGTTTTAATATCCTAAAATAACTAATATTTAGCTTTACTCCTCCCTATTGAGCGCTTTTTACGGACAGAGGAATTATACCCAATTTGTTCTATCTTGCCTGTATATATATATATATATATATATATATATATATATATATATATATATATATATATATATATATGTCTGATTGAATAAATTACAGACATTATGACTGCTAATTTTTAATAAAATCCGTTTATAATCACGAATAACCATCCGTGTATTGATTTTAAAGGATGAGAGAAATGTGCTATAGCTGTTTAAATTTCTTTTATTTTCAGTTCCCAATTACTTTCGATCTTCTCTCAAGAGCATCTTCAGTGGTGCAAGTGGTACAAAACTATATGTTGTTCATTAGTATAAATATTTATATGCATCCCTGAAGATGATCTTGAGAGAAGATCAAATATGCTGCCTAAATAGACACACACACGCACACACACACACACACACACACACACACACACACACACACATATATATATATATATACCCCCAAAATGACGCCAGAGCTTGATGTTAGTCATATGGAAGTAGAGGGTGAACCTTTCTGTCAAGAGCCATTATATATATATATATATATATATATATATATATATATATATATATATATATATATATATTTGGGGAGAACGATATATATTTTTATATATCAAGAACAGTATTGGAGAAATTGTATGGCAAGATAGAAAAAGTCAACCCGTGACGCGCCCCGTCCCCCAGGATTTCATCTGACAAAATTTGCTATGTTGGTAGAGCTACACATGCGCACGGTCGAGAGGTGATGGGAATTAACATTTTTTTTTTGTTATATCAGCCTAACTCAAACTAGACTGACCGCAACTTCGATATAGGGGGTGCTACTCTGGTCACTGAGGCGTGGGTATCTGGAGAGTACGTTGGTCGAAGGATCATCTGTAGTGGATTTGCACCCTGGCTCTTACATCATTCCACTATTCCTAGCCTATCTTCTGGTATCATAGTGTGGAATACCTGCTTAAAAAAGTGATGAAAGTTAGATTCAAGTTCATAGGTAAATTTAAAATAGAACCTACTATAGAATTTACCTATGAACTTGAATGTAATAACTCTTTACCTTTTTTAGACATACTACTTATTAAAAATAAAAATAAGAATAAATTAGAATTCAAAGTATATCGTAAACCCACATGTAAAAATGACTATTTACATTTTTACTCTCACCATGATACTAACACTAAGAGGGGTATTATTATTGGATTCTACTTAAGGGCTCTTCGCATCTGTTCAGCAAAATATTTAGATGATGAATTCAGATATATTGAGGATGCCTTTTCAAATCTTTCGTATCCGAGACAATTATTACTGAGAGCTAAAAAATAAAGCGTTGAAAATTCACTCATCAGCGCAAAATGACACCTTGAAGGACACTACAACTACATCAGTGAAAGGTACACTTTCAGCTGCCTCTGATAATAATTCTTTTGGTCGCATCTTTCTACCAAATAACCATTTGACCGAACGTATCTCAATAATATATATATATATATATATATATATATATATATATATATTAATGGGGTGGTTTTGGGCACCAATTTTTCATTTATATAATTTTGGTTAAGGAGCAAGTAAAATTTTTCTTTAACTTGTTTTTCTGTATTTTGGACCATTTTCATGGCTTCTGATACACATTTAAATATAAATTGTCCATTGTCTGAGCACTTTCATCTTTCATAAGCCATTATCAAAGAGTTTTTTTTTGTTATGTCAGTTTTCAAATATTGTGTATTTATCGCAAACTGCAAAATCCGGCTAAAAACACGAGAAGAATTAAGCATAGAAAAACAATATAACAGAGATGTTATCAATTTTATGATCAAAAAATATATATTTCATAAAAAACGACATCATAACACGAGCTGTCGTCTGAAAATGCGACATTTGTAAATATACAATACTCCCCCGCCCAAAAAAAAAAACAAAACGGTTCATAATGGCTTATTAAAGCTGCAAGCGCTCAGATATTGAACAATGTATATTGGAATAAACGAGAAAAATGTCCCGAAATATAAACAAAATAGAATAATCCTCAATAGATTATTCCTTAATAATCCTTAACAAAATAAATAGAATAATCTTTAATGATCCGTATTTCAAATAGTTTATTAAATGTTTGAAATAGGGAAAAAAACTTTGACATTGGGGCGTAAATATTTGGAAGAAAGACAAGATAACGCCTGAAGAGGTGAAGTGTTTCATATTTTACTACAACTGCAACAAAGACTAAGAAACAGGCATGGGGAACTCTGCAGAGAAAATGGACAACGTAGAAAAGGAAAAAAACTAGAGATGCAAATACAGGACTTGAAGGGATTTTCACATTGTTTAAATTGCTTCATTTTTTATGGATGTGTCATAAGTGTCGTACTGAAGAGAAAGACGAGGACACTGATTCAGGCAACGACATAACTTAGCTGCGGCCATAAGCGTTGATTGTAGGAAAAAGAAAGTTGCTGTATTCTTACGTAAATTGTACATTTTCCTGCTATATGTTTTTGACCAGAGTGTAATGTTGACTCACCGCTATCATAAGGAATCCAATCATTAACATTCCCAGCATTGCACTAAGCCATCTGTAAAAAGAGAAGAAAAATAGTTACTGCCAGTCAATTGATTTAGTTGATTGAGTTTGGAAAAATATTTAAGAATGTTAATAGACAGAAGAGGCAAGAAGTGATGTTAGGAACAAATTCAGTCATAATCAGCGCACCAATATGATAAGTTGTAACGTTTATGATGGGTGGTCTGAAGAAATTGCAACCAACTTTTGTTTTCAAACAGGAAATTTCAAATGTAGAGTTTTAGGTTGGTAGTAGGAGGAAACTAGAACTGATACTGTGATCCATCAGTGCGTGTAAGTTTGACAATTAGATGAATATGGATCTGAATTATTTTCTCTATAATGTTCAATTATTGATTTACATATATATATATATATATATATATATATATATATATATATGAAGATCATACACAAGCTGCTGAGAAAACAGAAGCAGCAGCTCCAACAAAACCTTCATCAAATGATGACACAAGGGCTTGGTTGTGTTTTAATACAATCATTTTAAGTACTAAGTTAGGGTGGGTCAGTAATATCTCCATAGTATCCCTATACTGTGTTGATTCACATTCATCTTAATATAAGAACACCAGATCCAATGTAGATGCAACATTGTCTCGATACGCGTGAGCGCGTACGTGTGTGTGTGTGTGTGTGTGTGTGTGCGTGTGTATTAAGCAGGTTTTGCAAAATTCAACAGATGTCAGTTTGTTTAATTTATTTTTCCAATTTTTGAATAAGTTATACATCAAAATCGAGGATACGCTGTCCAAAGTTCATGTTTTTATTTCAATCAGTTCTGTGTCTCAATCATTCTCAACATTCGGATATTGTCAGCATAATAGCCAAAATTTTGTTGGGTTCATTCTGGTATTTTTTTGAATGCTTACAGTTTAAATATACGGGTATTGTATACGTGACGTCATATGCAACATAGTTTCACAGGCTTGTCAGCACCGGCAAAGAATCTATCAAAAATTTTATACACATATTTTATATTTAATACAGACATTAAAATACTGTCATATGCATTTTACTATGATATTTTATTTAATGTGGGATGTCTCTTTTATATAATAATAGTTTTGTTTCTTCCTTCGTAGTGTATGCTATATATTGATACTATTTATATATGGCTTATATTGATGTAATTTGGTTTGTGATATGATGATAGATATATGTGTATAAATTACACTTTTCGATAAGTGACAAGTTAATCTATGAGAAAATGTGGCGTGTGACTAATGTAATATTGTTTTTTTTTTATTATTGACATTGGATATTCATAAACGGCATTGTTTTTACATAGTGGGATTCCTCGGATTGAGGAATCAGAGAGCAAAATTCCAGTCGAATCCATTACATTCACTTACATGCTAATAACCTTGGAAAATGTATGAATCCTCGTCTCCCCCCCAGCTATGGGTAAATAGCTTTGGATGGCAACTGCTCTACCGCAGAAAGAAATGGAAACTTACTGCGGGAAAAAAATTGCCTCGGCAGTCATGTATCGAAAGATACATGATCGTCTAAGCGTGTATCACGCATGACACATAACTGACTGAATACCTTAAAAAAATAAAAGGTATAAAGAAGAAATTATTTTAACTTGATTAATCAAGGTTTTTTTTTCCGAACTTCTATTTTATATCTGTGAGAATATTCACTATTGTAATTGGGAAGATACGAGTTTGCGTTTTGTATTTTTTTATACTGTGAAATAGTAAAACTATGACTTATATTAAAAAACCAAAGAAAAGGATGCTATTATTAACGTCAAGTTCATAAGTGTAGGATGAAGTTACCGAAGGTTTCTTTTTCTTTAAATTTCGTCTAGAGTTTACGTTAGTATGAATGTCTGATATATCGAGCATGTTTAGAATAATGGATTGCGGCTCGGATTAAGGAATCGGAGAGCCGAGTTCGAATTCCAGTCGAATCCATTACATTCACTTACGTGCTAATACCCTTTGGAAAGGTATGAATCCTCTTCTTCTCCTCCAAGCTATGGGTAAATAGCAGAACAGACTGGCTTCTATAGCCTTGGATGGCAACGCGTCTAGGTGAAGGAAAAATTAATTCAAACCAGCCTGTAGAGTATTAGGCTCTGTCAGGCTATCTTGCGCAAGACACACTGTGGCAGCTCGTGATATCGAACTGCGCAAAATTATTAAGGATTCATTTTCTACATAATACATATTGGCATTGGATAAAGTAAGACCGAGGACGTCAGTCTGTGTATAAATGTCACTATAATGATATAAAAATATACCAAGATGGAGCCAATAGAATTTGGCCTATCATAGTAACATTCAAGTCTTTATAATGATCGAGACGGTTAAAATTACTCGAGCAAAAAAAAAAAGATGTAAACTTGGATAATTTATGCAGAGGTATGAAATACCTACCCTGTTGTAGTCAGATGCCAGTGTATTATTTCAATTTCAGTCCAAATGATCTTCAACTGATATAAAAAAAGATCGACTTCAAGATTAGGATAGATACTGCACATCTGCTTGCACCTGATGATTAGTGGTAATCATATGGTAGCCCCGAAAACACGCACGAACACAGGGTTATCATCACCTGATGAGGGTTTTGTCGGAGCGGGCGCTGTTGTTGCACCGGTTAATGTATATATTATTATATTTGTGTTATAGAGGGTGCGTGTATTTATGTATTCATGAGTAAATAATTATTTCATACACAAGTATATATTTACAAGATTAAAATAAAACATACATAAAACTTACATAAACATACATAAAACATACATAAGTGATAAAAATTAAAGATACGTAAATATGGATGTAGTTCCATTTGCTTGAATATCAATGTGACTGCAGGGGTCATGGCGTGGGTATATCTATCTAGCCAGGTTTCAAAGTGTTTATTAAGTGTGGCTGCAGTGAATTTAGTAAGATATGCAACATGCCATACATGCTAAATGGGGCTTAAATCTGATTGTAGTAGTTTGATTGATTTGATTTTTACAGCTTAATTTGTGGGTTATTTAAAGCCTAAAACTTACTGTAAACTTATTGATTGTAAGAATAATTCTTTTATTTGCGGGTGAATATTGCATTAACAAATTTTTGGAGATAATGATTTTTTTCAGTTACATGTTATACTATTTAACCTATAGCTTGGGAGGAAGTGATGAATTCATACATTTTTCAAGGTATTTGGCATAAATGAATGCAATGAACTCTACTGGAATTCGAACTCGGCTCTCCGATTTCTCATTCTGAGCCACTATCCATTATATCACTCACACATCATTGGTGAGACAATGGATTGCCTGGAAGTCAGTCAAGTATTTTGAAAATTATACATTTTGTAGCTGATTCATGTTGTTGGAACAAGTCTTCGCTACCGACAAACATGACAAGCGTGAAGGGGTACAAATATTCTGCAATAAGATATGTGTATATCATAGCTGTCAAAATAGATTCCAGTTTCGCAAGAGGTTTCTGCGAATTCCAAAAGAACACACCTCATACCATTACAGAACCACCACCTGCTTGTACAACATCTTTCTGATGCCACCTCAGCGCATGAACGTCTGCAACAATGGTATTACAAACTTGTACGCTCTACTGCGCGTTGACTGATATGTTGAGCGGTACCAGTGTTGAAGTAGATGTCATTTCATGCGTGGGGAGGGGGTAGCATCTTTGTTAGTCGTCAGGGGGCATTGCTTCCCCTGTGGGCACCAAGAGTTCTCATTTGCTACTGATGCCTGTCCGGAATTCACATACACCTGGTGTAATTTTTGCTACTTTCCAAGAAAATCCCTGAGGAGTTGTCACCTCGCAAATACTTCTTTCTTAATCCAATAATCATTTCTGTGCTAAATCCGGTTCACATCCTATGGTTGTCAGCTACACCGTCACAGCTACAATACTTCTTTTATGTCACACACAGGTCATGCAGCTTAGAAATTTCTGTAAGTGTACTGTTGTCTGTTTTCGCACTTCATTTTCTGCACTAGGATGTATGCATGCGTATTTTATGTGTGTATACCTTTACACCCAGAGATCCTCCCTCATGCATATATATATATATATATATATATATATATATATATATATATATATATATATATATATATATATATATAACACAGAGGTGTCAGACTATTAGAAAACTTTCAAAGTTGTACTTATTTAAATAACTGATTTATAACACTAACCATCTTCCCAACTAAGAAGGATAACCTCAAATTTCGATATTCAGAAAATTTTGTTCTATTGAGCAGGAGAGAAGTAAGTTACTTCGAGAATCAATTTTATTTATTTTCATTTATAGTCATATAATAGATCATAGAGGAGGGGGAGGAGAAAAATAGTCCTACCAGGTAAACTTGCTGTACAATGATTCCGAGGGGCCGCGGAAAAATTCAAAAAAAAAAAATTTGCTTCGTTATTTAATCTGATTTTGAATAGTGGATTCGGACGAGAATTTTTAAGCACACTTCGTACAATAATTAGTACCTTTTCAATTACTTGAGCATTTGTTTATTCTTCTCATCTCCACTCGGACGGACGGACAGACGGACTCTGATTTTGTTGTCCAGTTCCTCGATTTTCAAGATAATTACATTTTAACTTTATTCCTTTGAATGAGCGTTCGAACCGAAAGCAACTTTTTATCGAGAAGGTAGATTTATTAAAACTTTTCAACAGTTTCGTTACGTTGTAATGTTTTTTTTTCTTTTTCGCTCAATGTTTGCAAAGAGTGAAAAAGAAAAAATGTAATTGCTAGAAAGCTGTTCACGGTTTCATTTGAGACAACTTTGCCAGTGCTATCTACAAATTACAACACTTGGGTTGTGTACAGTCAACCACGCGTGAAAAGCCGCTCGGCAACCATGTTTGCCTATGGTTGGACATACACGTGGAAGGACTGAGGAGAAAGCAGCAGTGCTGAAAAGCTTGAAAGAAAGGAGAAAAGATGTAAGTTGTAAAAAAGAAGATGGACTTTTAATGAAAGCGAAGAGATAAAAAGAAA